CCTATTTACTTTGTATTTTCTCTTTTACATTACTTTAGAATTCAATAAAAAGGTTAGTGGAAAAGTTTAGACAACTCTGTGCATGCGCACACTGGGAACAGGCTCCAGCTGTTCCTCTGCCGCACTGCTGTCTAGCTCCCTCTCTGCCTCCGACGCAGAGCCCTCGTCTGAGCTTTCCTCAGCCCCCAGGACTGGCCCAGGCTCCTCCCCAACCTCCTCACTGTCCGACTCTGCTGCCACCTCCGCTGGCCACCAGTGGGCTACAACAGTGACTAACTCGACAACCCACAGCAATTCGCTTAATGATGGTGGCAAGAAAGGTCATTAAATGGAGCTAAACTCAGCGAACAACTCTCTTGCTGAGCAAGAGAAGGGCTCAATAATTGTGGTCGTAAGTCGAGGACTGCCTTTACAGATCCGCTCTTGGGAAGGTTGGCAAGGCAGCTGGTTGCATCTCTAACCGACGTCCGCTTCCTTTTGACAGAATCATGATGAAACCTGGAGGAATTACTTTTCGGACATCAGTTTCTTCCCCAACGCCGTTTACACTCACTGCTACGACTCGTCGGGCACAAAGCTTTTTGTGGCAGGAGGTCCTCTTCCTTCCGGACTCCACGGGAATTACGCCGGCCTCTGGAGCTAATGACGCTTTCCCCCCGGAAAAAAAAAAGGCCTCTGGAAAGCTTCTTCTTCTCCTCTCCCTCCCTCATTCTTCATTTTCTCTCCTTTTTTAAAAACAAAAGGATTTGCGTGGTGGACATTTGCGTCTTCTGGTTTTGATGCCACTCGAGGTTTAAACATTTTTTTTTTTTAAGGAGGGGAAACCGTCGATCCCGTCGGGTCTCCCAGATGTTTTTGTACATTTTTAAAAATGGGGTGTGTTTTTTTCCTTTTTTGGGGGTTGATGTTGTGGTGGTTGTTGACCTGCTTTGACCTTTCTACAATAGACTGAGGGTTGGTACCCTTTTTATTGCGTTTCCTAAAAATGGTGGCGTCTTCGCCCCCAAGCTTAGGCTGACCAACCGGCCCTAAGTCTCATTTTTCTTCTCTTACTTCGCTGGGAGGTAGGATCCCTATATTCGATCGGCTGCTGCCGAGCTTTCTATGAAAGCCCAGGGGCTGTGTGTGCGTGCGTGCGTGCGTATGCATATGTGTGTACATGTATGTGCAGGTACTTTGTCAGTCACCTTTCCTGGAATAAAAACAAATCTAATTAAAAACCGAAACGTATTTACACGACAGGCCCTTCGACCTAATCTACAGAGCTAGATTCTGCCCTGCTCCTTCAAGTCTGAGTGAATCTTTTAAAAAGTGCCGGTTTTACAACGATGCCGTTTTCGTCACTGATCCAATGTGGGACCTCCATTGTTGGTTTATTTTAAATATATAAAGTCCATTGTGTTTATTCAGTAGAGACACATTAAAGGCAACCCCTGAGAACCATATATAATATGCCCACGCACTAGTTTAGCAGAAACAGTTGTGAACTAGGCATGTGGATAAGCGCTTTTATGCATATTTACACACACACACACACACACACACACACATCAAGTGGTGTGGTGACCTAGAGATGGAACTCTCATCTCACTATCAAGAGACTGTGAGTTTGATCCACGATAGAGGCAGGTATTTCTCTCTATGGCCACAATGAGAATGTATCTACTGAAGAAAACTCCACATTAGTGACAGGAAGGGCATCTGGCCAGTAAACACTGCTAGCTTCATTCAGTTGCCCAGACTCAACCCCGCAAGGAATTATAAAATATATGTGCGGACATGTGCATGCGTGGGCAAATATCCTATCCTATCCATTCCAATATTCTATTCTACACTATTTTCTATTCTTATTCTATTCCATTCCTAATTCATATTCATACTCCTATTCTATTCCATTCCATTCCTATTCCTATTCCAGGAAAAGCCCACTGAACCACTCTTGCTTAGCAACAAAAACTTTGGGCTCACTTGTGTTTGTCAGTTTGAGGACTATCTGTGTCACATGACGCACAGTTTTATACACGTACCCCACCCTTCAGAAGGTTGCATGAACTCACTCATACAGGTGAACCTCAGAGGATTGTTGTGTGTTTCTGGTCACACAACAATTAATGAGGATTTCTTCCAAGTATGATTTGCTTTTGGTTCCATAAACAATACTCAACTCAAACTCCGGTGCTACAGCTCCCATAACCCAGGTCAGTCATGCCCTCTGTTAGTCCAGGCTTCTAAAATAGGAACAACACCCTCCCCCTTACCTCCCAACTCTTATGGAGGGTGGAGCTATGCTACTACAGGCAGTCCTTTAATTTCAGCAGTTCATTTAGTGACTGTTCAAAGTTACAACAGCATTGAAAATTAACTTGGGGCCATTTTTCGCAGTTACAACCTTGGCACCGTCCACCTGATCAAAATTAAGGTGACACCGACTCATATATATGACAGTTGGCGTGGGATCCCCCCTTTGCGGCCTGCTGACAAAATCCAGGGGAAAGCCAGATTCACTTAACAACCGTGTTACTAATTTGACTGCGGCGATTCAATTAACCAAGAAAGGTCATAAAATGGGGGGAGATTCACTTAAGTGTTTCACTTACCAACAGAAATCTTGTGGTCCAATATGGTCATAAGTCCAGGGCTACCTGCACTTCAGCAGCTGATGTATCTTGGGTGCTTGCCTTCGTCCAAAGTCCACTGGTAGACCAAAACACATTTTTCCTCTGAGATCTGAAAAATAGAAATAAAGCATACAGATAGGTCTCGACTTAAAACTATTTGTTTAGTGACTGAATTTGCAACGGCACTGAAAAAAGTTACTGATGACCGTTTTTCACACACAAGACCCGCTGAAGTATCGCTGTGTTCGTGTGATCTAAATTCAGACGCTTGGGAACCGACTCACATTTATGACGGTTGCAGCGTTCACCATTTGTGACCTTCCCAGCCGGCTTGTGACAAGCAAAGTCAATGGGCGAAGCCAGATTTGTTTAATGACCACATGATTCTCTTAACAACAGCCACAATTCACCTAAAAACTATGGCAAATAACCAGAAGAGGTTACTTGGCATTCAAAGTCTGCAGAGTTCGGGGGCGGGGGGGGGGAAGGGAGAAGAATCTTCGTACTCATAATTCAGACACTTCATTATGGACTCTCAGGATGTGACTGCATTTAAAAATGATAGTATTTTGCATATGTTTTTAATTAAAAATTCTGCCTGAGAGAAGCCATATAGTTAAAAAGAAGAGTTTTGTTTTCAGCTGTATTTCTAGAGAATCACTTGGTGCTTGTTGAAGGAGTTAAATGTCTTCTTTCTGGGCTGGATTTTATCCTACATACAGATGGGTGAATTCGCCTGAGAGATAAGGCAAATGGCCAGCTGCAAAAAAAGAGTATTTTATTACACAGATTGCCAAATATGAAATAATATATATGTAGATGTTTCAGTAGAAAATATTTGTAGTTCAGGGGTGAATTGTTGGGTCCTTGGTGCTCCCTGAGCTTGCTGGTTTTCATGCAGATGTTTCATGACCCAACTAGGAAGCATCATCCGTGCTAGAAGGGAGAGGTGGGGAACTGTGGGGTCCTTGGTGCTCACTGAACTTGGTTATTTTCTTGCAAATCTTTCATGACCCAACTAAGTAACATCAGTGGTAGAAGGGTTGGGGGGAGGATGACTGTGGATCGTTGGTGCTTTCTGAGGTTGGATGTTTTCTTGCAGACATTTCATGACTCAACTAGGTGACATCATCAGTGCTAGAAAAGAATGGGGTTTGTGGAGAGGATGATGATTATTGAGATATTTGGTGCTCCCTGAGTGGCAGTTTTCTTGTAGATATTTTATTACTCAACCAGGCACTGGTGATGTTACCTAGTGAAGTAATAAAACCGTGGCACGACAAAATCGTGGTCCACTAAAGTGCGCCCGATTAAAGCGCGTACCTGATGTCATCAGCAGCGCGACAAATACGACCGCGGAGAAAAAAGGGCGCTTTAAAAAGCGCTTTTAAAGCAAGCCGATTCACGTT